TTGCGCCAATAATGCCTCGGTGTATCCCGGTGTCCCCCGCGCGCCGCCGCGGTCCTACCTCTCCTGCCTCGGTTTTCACGCGGGAGCGGCGGCCATGGCTCAGGGCCGGCCCAAAACAGCGGCCAAGCGTCCTAAGGCGGCAGCGGTGGCGGCGGCTCGTGGGACTCGGGGCCCGCGGAAGGGAGGTGAGGTGGGTGCCAGGGCCAGGACGCCCGGGGACAGGGTAGTGGCACAGGCGGTCTCGCGGGTCAGGGGTCGCTCAGAGAAGCCCCGAGTTGCTGGGCGAGAGGACGTTTCAGAACTTTGGGGTGGAAGGGAGGCTCTGATTTTGCGCCCGTGTCCCGTAGAAGTCGTGGGGGATCTCCGGTGGCGTCTCTGGGGCCTCTTGGGGGGGACACACGGAGCTCGGGGTTGTCAGTGGGGGCGTCCCGGAGTCTCTCGGGTCTCAGCCTAGCCACGCTCTCCACAGGCCGCACCATCGCCCCAAAGAAGCTCCGCGTGATCCAACAGCAGAAATTGAAGAAGGTGAGGGGGGGCGTGCGGGGTCCCGTGGGGTTTGTGGGGGGGCCCACCTGTGTCCCCCCTGACCCCCCCGTGTTCTCCCCAGCGTCTGGAGGTCGGGATCCGTATGCGGATCGAGCGGGAGACCGTGCAGCGCGCGCAGGGCAGCCTCCCCAAAAAGCTGGCCTTGGTCACGGCGCCGTCCCCCGCCAAGGACAAAGCCAAGAAGGGTCGCAGCTGAGGCCCCCCCCCGGGGAACGTCCCCTAAACCCCTCTCCAGTGATCTCTGCAAGGGTCTGGGGAGCTCTTCTCAGCCGCCATCGTTCTTTAATAAAAGGGATTTGTGGGCGGTGTCCCTCCCACACCCACACGGCTGGTGTATGATTTGTGGGGATGTGGTCGCAGAGGGCTTGGGGAGCTCCTGGAGGAGACATCTGGGGAAGGGGGTGAACATCGGTGAAGTCCAGAGATTGAGGGTCGGTACCCCCGGGAAGATTCTGGGACAAGAGTATTTCTGTTTCTGGGAGTGGGTGAGCTGTTCTCGAGGGAGGGTTCTGCCCCAAGGAGGTCGTGCTGTCCCCCAGGGCCCTCCTTGCATCCACTGGGGGGGATCCCGATGTCCTCGGGGGGTGTATCTGCTTCCCCGAGGGGGGCGTTTCCGTGCGGGTACCGGTGCCTCTGGCAGCTCCTGGTGTCTTCAAGAGGTTCTCGAAGTGGTCTTGGGGATGCTGTGGGTCACTGAGACTCCTGTGGAGGGTCTCGAGAAAGTTCCGGTTTCCTTAGGGGGGAACTACGGGGAGGTCTCGGTGTTTCTCGGGGGTCCCTGTGTCTCAGGGGTTGCTGCCAGAGGGGTCTTAGTGGATGCTGGGGGGAAATCCCATCCCTTCCCAATTTCACGGCGCCGCCACAACTTTATGAATGGATCGCCGGGCCCCGCCTCTTTCCCGTGGCTCCGCCCCCACCCCACGCTGATTGGGGAGCTGCGATCTGACTGGCAGCTCGCCCCGCCCCGCGCTGATTGACAGCGGAGGAAGCCACGGCAGCCAATGGGAGCGCGGCGAGGGCGTGGCCAGCGCCCCGAGGCGCCACGCCCCTTTTTGGGCGGGCAAAGACACGTGGGTGCCTCCCCTCCCCCACCCTGGGTGTGGCCAGGGAGGGCGTGGTCGGCGCGCAAGCCCCGCCTCCAATGACGTCAGGGAAATTCCCTGGAATCGGCGCCGCCGGGTTTATTTTGGGAAACAAACAGGGAACGGTTGGGGGAGGGGCTGGACGCCGGAGCCCCCCCCGGGGCCTCGCGTGGGGCGGGGCCCCCCCCAGACCCCTCCGAACCCCTCCCGTGACTCACCCACAGCCGGCGGGGCCGCGGCCGCCGCTGCCGGGGCTCGCCCGGGACCGGGGGGCGAAGGGGTGGGGAACGGGGAACAGCAGCCACGCCCCACAACCCCCCCCCCTCCCCGAGACCCTTCACAAAAACCCACGAACCCCCAGAAACCCCCCACTGCCCCCCACAAACCCTCCGTAACCCCTCACCCACTCCTAGCCCCCCACGACCTCCTGCAAGCCACGGTTCTAATCGTGTTGGAGGGTTCCTGCCCCCGCTACCCTCATTTTTGGGTAACCCCTCCAGGGGTTTGGGGGTCTTGGTGCTGTGGAAGATCCTGCGGGTCCCGGTGAGCTCGGGGAGAGTGGCAGGACACGCAGAACCAGAGAGTTTGGGGGGGGGTCGCCACTGGGGGGGGGTCGCAGGGTTCAGGGGGAGTTGAGGACCCCCAGGGCGTGTCTCGGGGTGCGGGGGCCCGACCCCTGTTCCTGCTGAACTGAGCCAGTTTATCCAAAGCAACTGCAAATCAGCTCAGCGGGCACCGGGGGCGGCGCCCGGGGGAGGCCGAGGGGTTTTGAGGACTCGTGGGGGTCCGTGGCCCTCGTGGGGGCTCAGCGTGCAGTAGCACCCGGGGATTTGGGGGCCCCAGGGGGATTAAGGTGTTCAGGGGATCCTGGGGAGGGGCTCCAAGGGTTTTGGGGAGGACAGGGAGAGCCCCGAAGGTTTGGGGGGGCCCCGTTGTCCGGGCGAGGGGGGCGGGAGGCGGAACTTAGCCACTGTGAACACGGCGCGGCTGGACTCTGTTCACAGGTGGGCTAAGCCCTGCCCCCTGGCCCCCAAAACCCCCCCAGCACCCCAAAACCACCCCCCAGAGCACCTACACAGCCTGCCACCTCCACCCCGCACCCAAACTCCCCTAAAGTCCCCTTAAGCCCCCTCCAAAGTCTCCAGGACCCCCTAAACCCCCTCCCCCTGGCATGGCGGCGGGGGCTGGGGCCCGTTGGAAATCCCTGGCAATGTGATTTTGGGCAAAAACGGTAAAAAATCCCATCGCCAGGAACCCCGGCGGGCAGCAGCGGTGGAGGGGGTCGGACACCCCGGTGGAGGGGATCGGACACCCCGGTGACGGTCCCGGTGCTCCCACGGTGCCATCTCTGCGTCGTGGCCACAGCCAGGTGCCACCTGTGAGAAAGGGGCAAGGTCGGTGGGGGGTCACCCACGAGGGGTACAAGTGTTTTGGGGGGGGATCCGGGAGGGTCCCGGGACAGGGGAGTCTCTGCGGAGACGGGATGGGCACATGGTGGCACTGGGGGGACACAGGAGGGATGGTGGGACCGGGACTGGGCTGGGACATGGCAGGAGGACACGGGTCTGGCACACAGCACTGGGACACGGCTCTGATGGCTGTCCCCAGTCCCCAGACCGCCAGAGCCGTCACCAGTCTGGGGTAAGAAACGTGTCCCCGGCCGTGCCACGTCCCCAGTGTCCCCATGGTGTCCCCTCGGCGGGATGGACACCCCGGATATCCCTGAAGGGCCGGGACCCGTGTCCCCCGGTGCCACCAGTCCCACTCTGTCCCTGTCAGCCCGTGTTGGGACCCCCGTGGCCCCCAGGCCGTGGCCCCGGAGTCCCCAGCACTGGTGGCCACGGTGGCTCTGGGGTTGGTGTCCCTGGTGTCCCCGGGGCCGGGGCTCTGCAGGCGCCATGTGGGACCCACGAGGCCCCGCCCGGTCGTGACATCAGCGTCGTCACGACAACGGGGCGACTTCAAAGGGAATCGGGTGGAACCGGCCCAAAAAATGGGGGTAAACAGCGGCAGCGGCACCGACACGGGGCCGAGGGGCCCGAGGGGACTCGGGGAGGACTTGAAGGGTTCCCCGATCCCGGGTCCCCACTGAGGGGGTCGCGATATTTGCGTCGGTGACGGTCCCCCGGTGCCAACGGTGGCAGCACCGACACGAGGCCGGGAGGGGCCCGGGGAGGGCTCGGGGGTCCTGGGGAGTCCGGGGGTGCCCAGCCGCGGGGGGCCTTGGGAAGGGGTCACAATGGTTATGACAGCAGCAGCCCCTCGGTGCCACCAGTCCCGCTGGCACCGTGGGCACAGCCCGGTGCCCCCCAAGTGTGGGGCAGGGGGTGACCCCGAGTCTGGGGCTGGCCTGGATTTGGGCCCCCCCCCGGATTCTGGGGTGTATCCCCCGGTTTTTTGGGGGCCCCTCCGGTTCTGGGGGCCCCTCCCGGTGCCCCCCCGGCGCCAGGGCGGTGCCGGCCCGGCCGCCCCGACCGGCTCCCGCGGCCCCGGCGGGGGGGGCGGGGGGTGGCCGGTGCCAAAATTCCCACCTTCGTCCCCAAAACGGGAGAAGGAAAAGGCAGTGGCGCCGCCCGGCGCCTGCGGAATGCAGGAACAAGGGTGGGATTTGGGGCAGGGGGTTTTGGGGAGCCGAGGCTGGGGGTCCATGGGTTGGGGGGCTGATATCGGGAGGCGCTTTGGGGCTCCGATGTCGAGAGGGCCGAGCTGTTGGGGGGCTGAGGGGGTGGCCGGCTGGGTGTGTTGTGCGGCCGGGGGATTCTGAGTGTTGGTGGTCCCAAGGCCAGAGGGTTGAGGCCGGGGGTGCCGTGGGCTCTGGGGGTCCCAAGACTGGCATGCAGCGGGTCTGGGGGCTCCGATGCCGCGAGGATCAGCGGGGCTGGCGGTCCAACACCAGAGGCTGCTGCGGGTCTGGGGAGAGCCAACACCGAGTGGATTTGGGGGTTTCCAGGCCCGGGGGGGGTTCTGTGGGTTTCGGGGGTCCCAGGCCGGGAGGGGTCTGGGATTTGGGGATGTGATGCCAGGTGAGTCTTTGAGTTCCCAGACCGGAGGGGCTCTGTGGGTTTCGGGGCTCCCAGCCAGGAGGGGAGTGTCTGAGATTTGGGGCTCCCAGGCCGGAAGGCGGGGGGGCACATCTGTGGGTTTGGGGGTTCTCAGGCCGGAGGGGGGGGGGGGGGGGGTCCGGGATTTGGGGTTCCCAGGCCGGGGCGGCTCCGGCGTCGCGCGGGCCAAGCGGGGGCGGGGGCGGGAAGGGGCCGCCCCGTCCGCGCCCGTCGGCGCCGGGGGGAAAGGATGAATCACCGCCCGGCGCCACCGCCCCCCCGGCCCCCCCCCGGCCCACGCCCCGCCAGCAGGCCCGGAGCCCCCAGACTCCCCCCGGGACCCCCCGGACACCTCTCGGACGCCCCGCACCCCCCTGCCCGCCCCTCGCCAGCCTCGGGCCGTCGATGGCCGTGGCGGTGCCGCCGCCGCCCCCGGGGGGGAACGCGGAGGATCCGGTGGGATCTGGCGGGACCCCGCGGCCCTTCCCGCCATCCCCGCGCCGGGCACGAGGCCACGGCCGCGGCCCCTCTCCCGCCGCCCCGGAACCTTCCAGGGGTCCCTCGGGGCCGTTACTCACCGGGAGCGGCGGCCGGGGGTCCCGGGGGGCTCCGGGGGGGGAAGACCGGGCCGGGGGAGGGGCTCCGGGGGCTCCCGGGGGCTCCCCAAGTCTCTGACTTTTACTCCAAGAAGGGAAACGCTTTTAAACGCTTCGCTCCGCCCAGGGAGCGACGAGGCCGCGGCGGCGGAGGGGAGGGGGGGGGGAGGAGGGACCGGGCCTGCCTCTGCCCGCCCCGGGACCGCCCCGGCACCGCCCCGAGCCCGCACCCCCCCCCCGCACCGAACCCGCACCGGCCCCGAGCGCGCCGCGCCCCGGGCCCCGATCACCGCACGGCTCCGCATCGGCGCCGGGGTGAGAGCGGGTGGGCAAAGGAGCCACGTGCCCCAGAGCAGGGGGGGCTTCAGAGCCCCATAGCAGGGGGGGCCCACGTGCCCCATGGCAAGTGGGCTCAGTGCCCCACAGAAACGAATCCTGGTGCCCTATGGCACAAGGGCTCGGTGACCCATGGTATAGGAGCTGCGTGCCCCACAGAAAAGAGGGTGGGGTGCCCCATGGCACAGGGACTGTGTGCCCTAGAGAAAGGGGGTCCGGTGCCCCATGGCACAGGGACTGCGTGCCCCATGGCACAGGGACTGCGTGCCC